TTTTTTTTTTTTTTTTTTTTTTTTTAATTTCCATACTGTTTTTATGATACCAGCAACACCATCCGGCAGATGGTTTAAATAAATGCTTGTAAATGCTTACAAATTTCTTTCTTTGTTGTAGTACTTTTCCTTTTGTTGTAAATAAAAGTATCTATCTATATTCAAATAATCAAATACTAATTTAGAAAGGGTTAATGTGAAATTAAATTGGGTAGGTTAGTCTGAGATGGGACAGAAAGTAACGAGGGACCTATCAATAAATTCACAATAATAATTAGTGTCAATTAATAGCTCGTTGCAAGCATGTATTAGTTTTTAAAGTTACGTACAGATTTATTATTTTATAAGAGAAAAAATTAGCAAATATATAGGGATTTCTTAACATCTCATGAGTTGTTCAATGCTGTAATTTAAAGCTGTAACGTCTAATTTTAAGTTAGTTGGTTAGGGTTTTGACGGAAAAAACATTATACAGCAAATAAGAACTACTTAGATTACTTTTAAAAAAATTAACACCACCATCAAATGGCATAAAATTGCAAACAAATATGAATACTTCCATACTTCCTCAAATAGTACAAAGTAAAAAAGCAAGTACTAAAAAGTGCCCTGTCCCTGATGAAATATAGAAATTCTCGTTCATTTTGTCAAGCTTGGGCCCTAATTAAAACAATGGTTGAAAAAGTAGGAAGAATTTCAAGAAATCACAGACGATTTGAATACAATTAATACATACACAGCGTTGTATTTTAAGTCGTGCGTCACGTACGCTTGGTTCGATTCCCGGCGTTGTCCTTGGAATTTTAAATGACTTTGAATTTACCTAGTATCGTATCGTGTCATTCTAGTCTGACCTAGAGCCCTTATATAAAAGAATCTACTTCGTTTTTTTTGTAACTTAATCAATTACTTAATTGATCAACGGAGTAGTTGAATAATATTGAAAAATGTTTGTAGTGTCTTGTTTTGTTTTCAGATTTCTGACAGGAAATACGAAAACAATTATAAAAAATAATTGAACAATCGCGTCTATGGGATAATTGGCCTCATCCGCCGGCAAGATTTATCATTTGCCCTCAAGGTCAAGGAAAATAGAAAAATTCGTCCACCCGAGTATTTTTGGTTTTGGAAATTTTCGTAATCTTGCATTCTTGGATTCGTAAGCGCGTGCGTTTTTGCACGTTCGAATCTATTAGCTGGAAACAATTTAGAAGGTTATTTTTTCCAGATACAAAAATCGACGTCATTAGATTATCTGAAGATTTTATATGTATTTGAATTTTATGTCGGTTTAAAGGTTTTTTCGTCCTTGAAGTTAAAAGGGAAAAAATTTAGTTTTAAATCTTCAGAAACACACTTTTCCATTCTAACTTATACTAATAGCACTAATTAGAAAATGGCGCCATTATCTTGTTACAAGGAACTTTTCAAAACTAAACAGGATAATTCTATTCGGTTGCACAAAAACCCTTTTTTGCAGAAAATATCAAAATAAAAATATTTTTAAAAAAAAGGAATCTTTAAAAGAAATTCCAAGTTGAAACGTACAGCCTTGAGGGTCTGGTCAACATATAACCGGTTTTTGGTAAAAAGACCTGAACTTAGCAATGTCGTTTCGCTAATCGATGTTCTTTCCAACAGGAAAATATATTTATCTCGTATATTTCGAACAATTTTTGTATTTTCAGATAAATTTAACCATTAGCCGGCCTGTGATTTTAAAACATAGTTTGGTGTATTTGTCGAATTTGATACCAGTTGACAATATAAACCTGTGACATAGAGCAATCTTCTTTAGATTATCTGAATTGCGCAAATTAAACTAAGAAACATATTTCTTATTAAAAACTGGATATGTTTTGATTAATAGTTATCATACAGTTGATTGTAATAAGAAGAATGAGCTTTGTCATCCCCTCGCCTTGAGTATATAACTCACGGCCGAACCGCTCGAGCAAAGTCGCATTTAGCATTTCAACACATATGTTCACACTTAACATTGGATATCTCAAACGATAAAAAAAAATTCTAGACATACAAAAATTAAAAAAAAAACAATAGTGCAATATTCCTGAATGTGAAAACACCGCAGGTATTTAGTCGAACATTTTTTTTTCGTATAATAAACGTAATATTTTTATTGTGGATTTGCGAAAAGGTTGCAAAAAAGAGCTTTAAAAAGTGAAAGCTTTCGGGGCTCGTCGCCGTGGAACGATCACACTCCTCGGCGGATGCTTTGCCCTCAACTTTCGCCTGTGCAAGTTGTACCGTAGCTTGGACTGATTCTTACATCACCCCGGTGTAATTGGCTGTGAAATATTGCTTAAGCACGTCAGGCAAAAACGATTTGAAAACTAATCCATTCCAGTGCCTTTTTGAATCTCTTCCTGGGCGCCTAATTTTCCTATTTGTAATCCAAGGTGCAGTTTATGTTTCTACTTTCGCCATGGTTGAAATCACAATGGGAAAAAAGAACCACGTGGGGTGTTTCTTGTCGGGCTGGTTTGCTTGAGTGTACAAAGTGAAAATGGGATTTTGAATGTTTTCCTTCATGAATATTTTCCTAGATCTATTTTTCTCATTAGGTAAAATACGATGATTTTTTTCTAATTTTTACTTGTTTTAAAATCTGGTTGGAAAAAAGGTTTACAGGAGTGTTTCATGTTTTTTATGAACAAAATCAAAAAGGATTTTTTCTGTTTTAGGCTTCTTCTTGGGCATATTTTTTAGGTTTGAGGGTACAAAAAATGAATTAGGATTGTTTTTCTTTTGGAATATCATCCTGGACTATTTTTTTATCATTTTGTAATCTATGGGTCATTTTCTTTCCATTTGGCCTGGATTTGAAATCCGAATTGAAAAAACAATAACTCGTGGGGTGATTCCTCCCTTTTTTTTCTTTTTTTTTAATATCATCATGGGCATATTTTTTTAAATTTTGCAATCTTCATCACTTTTTATTTTAAATTAAATTAAAATACAATTAATTAA